GAAAACGTAAGCTTATACGGAGAACAGAGATCACGTAGAAGATGAGATGCGTCCTTACGTCAGAGGAGCGACGCTTTGACCCATATCCTTCAGCATTAGTAATAAACCGTTTTTCCCCGGGCAAAGTCAGTTGAGGGAATAAAGAATTGACGAGCATCGAAACAATTATCATATTTCTTATTTTAATAATTGTATGTTATTTCTTTCACTACTTGAAAAAGGTTGAGCCTTTGCCTCACATTTCCTTTCGCATGTATGCCTTCTTGCTCCTGAAAGCTCTAAGTTGAATTCCGGGAATCGTAGCTTTACAGGGTGTTTTGGAGGGCCCTCTTGCGGAAACTTCTTGCAAAATTGAGTCGTCTCAGTAGAAATTTTGCGCAATTCTCGCCGAAAATTTGATTCAATTTAAATTTCAAGAATGAATTACATGTCATGTACTTAATTAGCAATATCTCACATTTCTTGGGAGGGGCCGAGTAGATTTCCGCAAACAAGGGGACAGTCTCCCCCGCCCACGCACTAAGGATCGAGTCTATCAGAGAGTTCGGACGCGAAATTTTTGACTAAAACTGCAAATTTTGATGTTTAATTCGTCGCATTTTAAATTTTAAGGGGTGCATCCAGAAGAAAATTTCTCGAGTAAACCAATGGAACCGCTTCTAGAACCTCAAAGTTTCATATACACGGAGCTATGAGCATATAAAGTTTTCAAATTTTGTCCGACCTCTCTTATTTACTCGATCCACAGTGCCACGGTTCCAATTTCACTCTTTGGTGACTGCACAGTGCGCCGATTTAGTGCCGTTATTGAGAGTCCCGTGCCAGCTGACACTGAGCTCATCCGAAACAAATCGAATTAAGCGGCGAAAAACTGTGACACAATTTGCGCACAGACTTCCAGTGCGTTTAGCCTCTCTATCTTGTTTCCTTTTACACGCCTGATTCTAAGTCTGAAGATCTAGAAGAAGTCCAAAAGGACCTCACATTGGCTTCCCCTTCAATTTTTTCCTCTTCTTTTTCTCGGACGCAAGAACAGAGTCATCCATTTATTTTTAGGTCAGAGGTCAGAGGTCAGAACATACTTTGAACTTATCGTTCTTGAATACTAAACTGAGCACGCATCCAATTCCGATTATTTTGGGATATTTTGAAAGTTTGAGCTAAAACTTATGTAAAATTAATTCCAATGCGTGCTATGAATATTGTAAGGCATAAAAACTTGAATGGTCATACATTCCGCTTTTTCATTTATATTGCGGCGCTCGAAACTCACGCGAGGAATATAACTGGAAGGCGCTCGATAACTTTCCATGCGGGAACTTTCGTAAGGAAATTTTCGTGACCTTTGAAACTATAATAGAGGGCTAATTTTGTGAATGAATCGCGTTCGTGTGTAAGGAACAAATAGAAAAAATTCTATATAAATACCGATAAACTGTTCGGAGGATTTTTAAAGTTCGTCAGACACGAGCTTTTCTTCTCCTCAGCGAACTTTTTCTTTCCTATTTTAGTTGCGTTATGCATACAATTCGGGACACTCTACATGTGGTTTCTCGCGAAACTTTCGTACGTCACTTATTACTATGAAACATAAAAAAAAACCCTACAGTAATTTTAATGTCGCCTTCTCAATTCGAGAAAAAGTCAAAATTAACGCCAAAGATTCCATCTTCGAGGCTGAATCATTACTGTTCGTCACCACGGATTGCGATTAGTTTACGTGGTGGTAATAATGACGTTTTTATAGCCAGATAGTGAGCTACTCAGGAGAACGAATGGTATTCAAACACGTCGTTCTCTTACAGCCGTAGTAAGAACATAGTATTTTCAAATCATCCTCATTCAAAAAAAAAAAAACTGCATGCTTTTGTTGTTTGCTGTTCCAGTTGCATATGATAGAAAACGCACTTGTTTTATTCAGACATTTTGCACTGACGTATGAGCCATAATGAAATATAAAAGGTATGTTCTCAATTGAGGCGTTGGGTGCAGAAAGGACATTTTTTGGTTGCGGTGTTTCAGAATCTCTACTCCTAATTTTTATTTTAGAAAGAAAACGATTGTATGAATTTTCTGAAATTTTTCGTTTTCAGCATTATAAAATCATAAAGAAAATTCAGTAAAAGTTTCAACGGGTTTCATACATATGCTTTAATTATAATGGATGAAACGGTAGCAAAGTTTCTGAGACACCGTAACCCAGAAATGCCCTTTCTGCACCCAACGCTTCAATTATAGGCTCTCGAGAACAAGGAAAATTGCCTTCCTCTCTATTTTTAAATAATTGGACGGATCTATACTAAAAGGAACTATGTCTCATGCAAACCTTATGCACATAGTTCCTTTCAGCATTAAGACGTCCAATTATGCCGCACAGTGGAACGAATCTTTGAAAGAAGTTGGATATTAAATTTTTCACAAAAATCGTAAAATTTTACGTTTATCTCGTCACAATTTTAATTTTTAGGAGTTCTATTCAGGGACAATTTTACGAGAAAACCAATGAAACTACTTGTAAAACACCAACATTTCATATTCGTAAAGGTATACGCTTTTAAAATTTTGAATCATGTCCGACCCCTCCCATTGACTCTATCCACTGTGTGCCGTCCAGACATCGTAATTAAGGATTCTCGCATTGAATTTCGCCTCTGTTGTCTCTACGTTCACTTAAGGGACGATCTAACATGTACAGTTGGAGAGGAAAAACCGCACAGGTAGATATTTTGCTACGGCGCCTTCATTCTACAAGGTAGACTGTGTGCTGTAACAATTATTCATCGGGAGAATGTGCGGCGCTTGATGCCGCGTGTTTATTCCATGCCGAAAATTATGTCCACCTTAGACTAGCAGCATTAGTTTGAAGATTTTAGTGACCTGTCTTTGTGTTGAAACACATATCGACGGTGAAACTACAAAAAAAGCGTATTTCGGAATCTCTGCTACTTTTTTATTTTTCAAAAGGAGACCGAACCAAAATCATGGTTTGATTTTTTCACAGAATATCATTTATAAGGAGAAGGAAAATCTCTGAAAATTTCAGAAAATGACGTTCAATAGTTTTCCGTCCATGTTGAAAATAAAGCATGACAGGAAGTCTGTAACGCCGCAAACTGAGAAGAGCATTCGAGCAGTTTCACCATCGATACATTTTAACGGTGACTGTATTCATAAGAAAATACGATTTTTCGTTCCTAAACTTTCAAAATAGTGAGTTTTCCTAGAACATATAAAAAAGCTCTTATCATACTGTCAAACTGTTATCTACATCATTGTTGCTCTTTCCTTATCCATATTCTTTCTTTCCACATTTTTATTCACACATTGCGCTTGTAAATTTATTAATTTCCAATTTCTGCTCTTAAGACCTCTGTAAGTTAAGCGTGAGCTAAAGATAAGTATTCTATCAGGCAATTTACTTCTCAGCGTTTTTTTTTTCTTTCGTCACAAAATTTTGGCACCTATACCTAGCCTAAGCAGCTAGTAAAATTTTAAATGGACGTATTAATGCTAAAAGTATAAGTATTATGCCTAAAGTTTGCGTGCAACGTTGCGTCCTTTTTAGCATAAATACCTCGAAATTATCAATATGGACAGAAGGCCAATTTCTGAATTTTTCCCTCTTTTTACACCCCTACATCTTCATCCATCGACCTTTAACTTTTTTGGGTACGCACCAGTGTATTCTGTAGTTTTGTTGTTTTATCCCCTCTATTATAAAAATAAAACCCTCACATTTTTTCAACGGACAAATTCTCCCATTGACGACAGTCAACCAGTCGCTGCGTATTCAATACGTTCACTTAGTTTTATTCTCAGTTACCGGGAAAACTCAATCTGCGTGGAGATTATTTTCTCACGTTCGGCAGGAAATTCGATGCACCCTGTAATGCGCATGCAAATTTTTTATCATGAGGCGCGAACTCAACGGCGTCCTAAAACAAACAAAGTAATTCTTGAACCGTTTCAACGACCGAATTCCTCTCACCAATGAGATAAAATAGGGAAAAGGAAAAAATCCTCATTAGAAAAATCATTGTGGAAAAAAGAGAAACAATAGACAATACAGGGAAGAAAAAGAACTCATGTGCTCGGAAAAACTATTTCCTCTCATTATTAAGTTGGAAACTGGTCGGCCTCTCGTGATACTTCATTGTTTCCTCACTTATCAAATCTTACGTTTAAGTGTGTCACTAGTTTCATTCATTTTACCATGTTTCCATGCGCGGTTTTGATTTTCTGTGAAATATGGTTCTTGAGCTTGTTTATCGTATAAACCACCTTGAAAATGTACCGGGGTTGTCTCTACTTCACTTCAAATAAATTAAACTATATTCTGTTATGAGGAATGACTATACCTGGCTCATTCATGGAAGCACCTATCTGCATAGGGAAACCGATGACACCTTAACTGTTTCTGAAATAAGCCAGAACAAGTGGTTCCTCGTCACAATTTTGCGAGCACAAGGAGCGCAGATTGCAATAAATTGCAATTTCGTGGTATTTGGGACTTTTTCGGTAAAGGGGCGTATGAAGCTTGCAGTGTTGGTAACATTGCGTGATTAATTTTTTTTAAAAAAAAATGTTGAATTACGCGACAGTTTATGCGGAAAAGCTCCCTCATTTTATATGATCGTGTACATTTTTATAGCGTTTGCGACGATGAAATTAATTTACAGTCGAACCTTGAAATAGTGAGAAAAAACTCGGAGCAGATTCAGGGAAAATTCAGAACTGAACTGTCGGAAAGAAGACTTTCAACTAGAGAACTACGTCACAGAATCTTAGCAACATTGGAAGTCTCAAATGCCGTTTTACCGAAGAACGCCTCACTTTATTGCTACTGCATCGGAGTGTTGTGTATATTGCCTATATCTACGGATTGAAGGGGTACTTTTTATTGATATTGGAATAAAATTGAAATAAGCTGCAATTTTTCATTGCATTACAAATTGCCCATCGACTGCATTCTCCTCATCAATGATACTTTCTTGTTCCAGATACCTGGCAACGTTGCAATTCATCGGCAATGGGTTCCTGAAATCGCAGGGCTATGCGAGGGCTGCTATGTTCGATCCGGCGCGCCCTGCCGAGTCCCTGAGCTTCCTGGCTGACGCCGTCTTCAAGAGACAGTTCGGACTCAAAGTTAACTCCGCCAAATACATCCGACCTGCTGTCGCCTATGTTCAGGTAACTCCATTTTCCACCAGCCCACTGCCCATTCCCGAACGCTAATTAATGGCGTTTCGCATAATTAGACACGCTCTTAACTGACCGTACCTCTGCCGCTATTCAGATTGTTGCCGGACTTCTTTTTTGAGAGTAGAAATGCAGAGCCTGATAAGCGCCGTTGAGTCTTGCTAAAATTTTGCAGCTGCTTCTTCTGTTAAAGGGAAATCTAAAGGTCTGAGAATGACAATTCTTGTCTTGAAAATTAGATCAAAATTGCGAAAAAATTGACATTAAAAAGATTTATGATGTAAAGGCATTTAGGGTTTTTGCGGTGAAAAATATCACGCATAATTCTAGCAACACCTGATGGCGCTCGCCAGGTTTTCTTATTTAAGAGGTAATTTTGAAAATTCGTTGTTTCTTGGACGAAAGAACGTATGTCTCCGTTCCAACGAAGCGAAATCTCCATTTATAAAGTGAGTTTATAAAAATAAATTATTGGGCAGTTCTCTCTGAAATTATCACGGAATTTTCTTCTAGCTGTATGCAAAAATAATTTTCATTTTGGACGGAAGTCACGCAACCAAATTCTCAAGAAAACTTCAATTATATTTGTACATTTTGCAACTTTGGAATGGAGTGGAAATTAGTCTCACCCCCAATTTTTTTATCAGAATTTAAAAAAAAAATAAAATAAAGTCTGCCGAATATTACGAAAATGTGCCAAGTAAAATCTAATGAACGTACACCTACCTACTAAGAAAATGTTGGTTCATTATTACAAATTACCCTATTATTTCTCGGTACTGAGAAACATAATTAAACCAACAACAGTCGTCCCCAGCAATTCCTGGTTGATTTGTAGGAAATACTCGTTACGCCAAGAATGTGTACTGCACGACGATTTAAGTAAGTACCTAACGACGTAAACCCCTCAGCGAATTTAGCCTCCTGACTTTTACGAATGGCAAGCGTCTGCGAGGTATATGAGCTCTCTAAGTGGAAGCGATTAGTGGGATTAAGTAGGAAACGTTCAATGAACCTTTCCTAATTAAAATGAAATTATGATTCACAAAACTCAAAGAACTGGGAAATGTTTGGTAGCGTTTCTGTGCAAAGCGACTTCATAGAGTTTGATACTTATGGTCTTACAAGTAAAATTTCATGGAAATTGGAAAACAGAATTACAAGTATGAAGAAGAATTGAACGTACATTGGAAGAAATACAATTTCTTAGTGGTTACAATACTGCCGTGCTAACGAAAAACGCCGTATAAGCCATCAGGCGTTGCCAAATTTCCGCTGGCAAATCACTAATTTTTAGGAAACTTTTTGAATGTATGCCTACCAATTTCTCAGATAATTTTGTTTGTAATTTGATTTAAAACTTCTGAACTTTCAAGGGAAAACATTCATACTTTTCCTCAAAAATGAACATTTTATCGAATGAAATTTGGCAATTCTCGAATGTTCATACGGCGTTCTTCCTTAGCACGGCAGAGTAATCCTCATATTCCCATCATTTTAGCGCCTCGCTATTCTTTGCAAAAAATCCGCGGCGATTGATTCAAACTTCTCGGGTTATCCAATTTCTGTATTTTCTTTCAAGCTTCAAATCTTTGATAGATAAAAGATATCGCCATTTCAAAGTTGCAAAATAACTCAATTATTCTCCCACAAGCGTATGACTGACGGTGGCGAAGCGTGAATGGTCGATTCTCGATATTTTACCATTTGAAGCTACGGTAAAGAATCGATTATTAAGGTGTCAGTTGCGAACACCCTGTCTATAGATCCTTTTCCATAGGTTTTAATAGCAGATCAATCGATATATCGCGAAGCACGCCATGGGCCACGCCACTGATGACTAAGCAATATCACTGGAAAAAAAAAAAACAAATTGGGATCTAGGGTCCAGACTCTTGAAATCATTGACAAGAAAAAATACTCTTGATTCAATCGGATTTTTGCTTGAATCAAAACGAAATCCGCTTAAATTAGGAGGCTTGGTTCTTGATTTAAGCTAGATTCTGATTGAATCAAGAGTACTTTTTCTTGTCGATGTTTTTAAGAGTCTGGACTCTAGATCCGATGTGTTTTCTTTTTTTCCAGTGATCCGTTCAAAGTTTTACCGATTTTTTGTCGGTGAAAATTTTTTTACATTGTAATGTAGTTCTTTCGTCTTGGTACCGACGAGATATATTACAGCGTTCTAAGGTAGTAATGTTTTTTTTTTTGTTTTTTTGTTCTTTTTTTACAGGATGTATTCAGGCTTGGACAGAGTAAAGGGCTCAGCCTTTCTCATTTAACACAACAAGAAATAGAAAACAAATTAGCAGAAACTCTGAATGGAGAAGTAATTGAACCTGTGCTCAGAGTATGGAGAGCGTACAGATACGCCATCAAAAACCCCAGCTGTGATCGGTACTTAATTTGTGCAATCAATAGAGTCGAGCCAGGAAGTGAAGGTTTCGCCGGGCTAAAACCAGGAGTTACTAAAATTACCAGGTGAGTCCACTTCTACTCGTGTGATCGTCTAGTACTTACCCGGGTCATCAAATACCTTATCTTCATATTTGCATGTATTTAAAGCCGTTAATATAACAATATATGACAATCTAGCGCTTAATCATTTAGAAAGCGCACATTTGAGGGACTCGGAGGGCAAAGCTCATAAATACAGTTTTTGCTGTTTCAAGAAATACGTGTTAGAGGTTTCGAAATTGCATGGATCCTTAAGCCGGAAGGAAAGTTCAAACTGACTTTTTGATGCTTAAAAATTGAAATTTGGGAACGAATTTATGACAGAATATGAATTAAGACTAGTTCTATTTTAAATCATTGATATCTCAATTTCTTCAAAATCTGCCCTTATGCGCCTTGTCCTTCAAGCCCCTCATTTACTGTGAGGCTATGATTGGAGGATAGAATGGAAAAGATTTTCCTCATTAGAAGTGCGCTGTTAAATCTCTAGAACTAAACGTAAAGGCGATATCTCCCTATATTCTTCAAAACTGAACGCACTTTTATACACTTTGATCAAAATGTTAGACTGGAGGAGAATATACGTTGATAACCATACAATTTTTAGAAAATTTTGCAGAAATTTATTTTCAAAATACACATTTTGACTGATGACATTATACTACGGCTCTAAATCAAATTGATGATGTGATAATTTGAGTGTCTCATTTTAATTGTTCATACTTTAATTTCTAGCTTGATGGCTTCGTGGTTCCTATCTGGAAGAACCGGCACGCCTTTCTGGAAATTCTACAATGCTGCAACAGAGGACCACAACTGCCAGGTAATGGTCTTTCTTTCATCTTTGGTCTTCGTTGCCCCTTCAAATACCCATGATACTAAAAGTGTAACAAACCATGAGAACCTGCTACCTCTCTGCCTCTCTCTCTAGGATCTTTCGCGTTGTGCAGGATTCAAATAACTCAACAGTTTGACACATTAATTTTCTTTGACAATCCAAATACGGTAGCGTTTGGAATAAAATTGGGATGAAGCACCATACGTCTCGTTGACAAAGTTTCAATTTTTCCACTCTACACTTTTCCGGAAGATTGTTTTTCCTGAAAATATTTTCAGATACAAGTGAGAAAACAGTTAAGAAAATCATTTTTTCAAAAGAATATGACGGGAGTTTGAAACTGTAAGCCTGCACGATTGCCCAATAATCGATATAATATGCTTGCATCTAGTAGTGGTAGTAAATCAAAAGTTTGATTTTGGCTGTAATTTAGAAGAAATGTAGTTTTTTCTGAAGTATCAGCCATGGATTTTTATTTATGTACGTTGTTTTTGATGTTACCCGCTCGTATAGGAAAATCTTTACATCAAAATCAATGGCTGACACCTCAGAAAAAACTGCATTTCGTAGTGGTAGCAGCATATTAAAATTCATAGACTTCAAAGCATCTAGTGGCTCTAAGGCACCTGAGGTGAGTCTGAACATTAAATTTTGAGGTGTCAAGAGAAACGTAAGTACGTACATTAATTTTGGAAGGCAAAGAAAGCAGAATATTAAATTTTTGGATGCCAGGGAACATAAAGTATTTGATTCTAAATAGTGATATGTATTTTTTTCCTGTTTACAGGCACGATACCCTGCTGAGTGCAAGGGTTTCCACGAGGAGGACGTACGAGCCACCACTGAATATGCTCACAGTGAACTTTAAAACACGCCTCTGGTTACGAGCACTCGTCAAGATTCCCGCAATATAAACCGGTCATGCAAAGCTAGGGTTGTTGAACCTTTCGCAAATTCAGAGATAAGTCGCCCTCAACTCTCTGATTTTATGCTGAAGGATGAAAATCAACCGCACCTTGCTGCAGATGAGTCCGATCTCAATATCAACTCAAGATTTTCTCATTTTTTATTATTGAGAATCTGTAGTTTAAAAACATTTTTCGTCCAGTATAAACGGGTGCTGGATCAATCCACAACTCAGGTTAAGGACTCGAGCTATAATTTTATGGTTAAGATCTCGCGAGGACACAAAAACTTCAAACGGACCACATTTTGCAATAAGGAAGTACTCGTACTATTTCTAGCTCATCAATAAAATCACCAATTTGATTAGGGAATCTGATGACACCTGCGTTTTTTCTAAATTGAGCCACAAATATTAGTTCCTAATTGCAGAATTTAGTCCAAATGAACATGCGTGAGACCTACTTTGAGCACATCGAAAGCAACTGTGTTTTATACTTTATTCTGCAAAAAGGAACCAACATTTCCTGTTCATCTTTAAAAGCACCTATCTGCATAGGGAAACCAATGGCACATAGGGTAGTCCCTTATTACAGAATGTAGTCCAACTCGAATACTGGAAAAAGTCACACTCAAGTTGTGGTATTTAAACTACTCAAAAATTCGGAATGAATGTCGAAATTATTTTGTGTTTTCAGCAATGAAAAATGCTTAATTAATCTCCTTAAGCAAAGGTATGTAAGCATTTCAAATGTGAAACCTTAATCTTAAGTCATCTTTTCCGCCACATGCAATCAGAGTAGTAATGAGATTAAATACGTGAAAATTATCGGAAATTACTCAGGGTCTAAACAACTAAATACACTCATCGGTCATGTCATTGAAAGGCCTTAAATATCTCAACTGCCTGCCCATGTGTAAGTAACACAACTTTTCCTACATCAGTGAATTTTAAGCCGAAGGATTAGGAAACTTGAATATTCTTCTTGTTTTGGCGCTGCATTTGGGGACACACAATTTTCACTTTGCTTTTAAGCGGAAAAAATTAAATTTTAATTAATTTTTATTATCATAGTATCATATGCCTTTCAGCAATACCAATTCATATTTCTATTCGCCTGAATCCATTTTATGCTGTACAAAATGCAGTTAAATTTTACCTACCTGAGTCTCATTCCAATCAAATATAATTAGCACAGCCTTGTTTCATTTAGTTGATTTAATTTTTCTTGTTTCCCAAAGGACGTCACGTGTGAAAAAATGACCCTGTACATATTGTGAAATTATCTAATTGAGATATTTAAACTTTCAGGGTTGTTTTTATTATTATTGGTCGCTTTTTATTAAGCCCAAGGGCTCCGTAGCTAACCTCTAAAGAAGCCTTTTAGTGAAAAAAACCTTTCTATCAATACGACCCTTGCAAAAGCCTAAAGAGTAAGTTGCAAGAACTGAAGCAGTTTCTAGTGCAAAGTTTTCCATTTTTATCTACAATATTTGCTCATTCTCTAATGCAGGGATGAGGATATTATATGATCAAAGTTTCAAAATTGCGTTCGCAGTGACATTAAAATATTCAGAATATTTTTTTTATAAGTTCTTAAATTATTTACACGTGTGAATTTTGCACGAATCAGTGATAATGAGATAGTTATTTATTTACTCGTTAATCTGATAAACATTGCAGCTATCTAGGCGTTGATATAAAAAATAAATAATGATGAAACGACGGCAATAATGATGAAAATATTTATACCAGCTCTAAAATAATAAGTCAGAAATTCTAGTCCTGATAAATTTTGGTCAAGCAAAAGTGAAGTCGCGTTCCCATATTAGTGAAAATATTTGGCATTCACATCGCGAACTTAAAGCCATGCTTCTGTAAAAAGCTGAAGTCAAGAGACTGGAGCTACAATTTAAAAGGAGTACGTATTGTATAATTGATGATGCATCATATTGATGTACGATATATTTAATCTTTAGATGTATTTGAACTAACTTATTTATATATTTTTTTAGTTCCAATTTTATGTTTATGTCAAACGGGGTGCTGTTCGAAAATGCCTTTTGCGGAGAGTTAAAATATATTTTTTTTGTTTTACAGTACTTTCAGGATGTTCAAAATAATTCTGAATTTTTGGAAATCAGTCGCTCAGAATCATATGTTCCATGGTTAGGCGCTACCTATCTAGGAAAATGTATTCGGTACATTACTTATTATAATTGACAAACGTCAAATCAAGTTACTGGCGTCAATTTTGGAGTAATTCATTTTTGCGACCAAAATAATTAATAATTAATCAATCAATCAATGTTTAAAGAATAGGAGACGTAAAAGAGTAATACACATAGATTATTTCATAGAAAATAGATTTTTAATGAACGTCCAAAGATTGGAAGGATTGTTAATGGTTTAATATAAAGACTTGAACACTTGTGATACTTAAGAGACTTAGTCACCAATGAAAATGAAACAGTTGAAACTGATATATTACACATTCTTTAAAGGGAATTGAAGTTCTTCACTAAGAAAAAAGAAGGAAATTACCACGATACTGACGACCTTGTGTGTTTTTCCAATGTGTAGTTACTCGTAAATATCAGTTTTTAACTTAGGTGTTCATAAGTTCTAATTTAATATTTTGTTTATTTACCTAGATATTTATTAAAATCTCACTTTCACCGTGCCTTGTTTGTGAAAATGTTGTTAGAATTTGTAAAAATGCAATATTTTGTAATAAATGCGAGAATATTATTTCGAAAGTTATTTCTTCATTGTTGTTTTTCTCTGATAAAAAAGGTTGAGTCTGTTTGACTCATAACAGTTCCGCTTCTTCATGCAGAAAATTTCCACAAGTATTGCCACAAAAGAATGTTGTCAGCCCAAACTACGATTTATGGGAGGGGGTGAATCTTTTTAACTTACTGTTTGCACCAAAATTACTAAAATGGTAGACAAATAAAAACTTTTTATACTGCCCTGGTAAAAATTGGCGATTAAAGCTGCGTTTCAAAATACCATAGGAATTTTTATAGCCGGTTAAAGAAGGCTACAGAAAAGCATATAGATGGCTGTAGAATGCGGAGAAAATCATACGGCCGGGCTATACGAAGCGATAAAAAATTAAGCAGCCGGGCTATAGTTCCTATCGTCGGGCTTTACACTTTATCGCCTGGCTGTTGCTTTTTCGCCATCGATTATAAAAGGCTATAAGAAATTGTGTAGAAATTTGTGTGCTTTGGAAATCATTAAGTTTGATACGGAACCACCTTAATATTTACAAAATAAACGTCATATTTTCCTTTAATACATCTTTTTTTTTCATCAATTAAAACGAGAATAATCCACACAGGATGTGCAAACATTTCAAAATCATGAGTTGAATAACGCTGACTCCGCCAGATTAAATATTAGAGCCTAACACAAAGCGGAGCGGCGACGCACTGGCGCCTACAAACCTAACAGGGATACTTCACGCATTGCGCAACGCGTGAAGTATCCCTGTTAGGTTTGTAGGCGCCAATGCGCGTTTCGCGCTGGCTGCCGCGCCGCAGCGTGCCACGGCGCTCGAAGCAACTATTTCACACCAGAGGTATTGCACAGTATCATACGAAACTGAAGGCGCTCTAATATATTAGGAATGGCAGGTATCCATCAAAAGTACGGAGCTTCCTCGCAAAATAAATCAAGATACTACGGCCCAAAAGAGAGCAGTGGTCCAAAAACTCACTAAGTCCTAGCATCCGTAATTAGTGACGTTTAACATATACTTTATCGCCTGGCTGTGAGTTGCTTAATCGCCATCGGCTATAAAAGGCTATAAGAAATTGTGTAGCCGGCTACAGGAGCTATTTGAAATCTTACAGCCGGCCGTAGGTCTATTTTATTTTGGAACACAGACTCTACCGCCAATTTTTACCAGGGTGGGAAACAGTAATATCTACTTTTTTAGAAAGTGTGGAAAAAAAGGAAGGCAAAACGATTAATAAAATGATGATAGAACATGCATGCTTCCCAAAGCATAAGTTATGGTCAAATTGGAGATGGTTGACTACGGGCCCACCACGCTTTCGTATATGCTAATGAATAATTACATCTTTTGTAAGATTTTCGAATGGTGAGATAAAAGCGTACGAACTCCCGTGTAGTTCAAATCGCATGACCGTCGAATTGAAGGAGCATTACATTTCACGACTAAACATGGACCGCGTTTAGCAGAAATAAACCAAGCCACATCAGCTTTTGCAAAATTTAATCGGGCAATTCAAATTTTTACATGAAAACGGTTGTACGGATTTGTGTACAAATTTTAGTGAATTTTCTGCCCAGTTCGAAGCAAATACCATAAAACGTTCAAAGGATTCCACACAAACATTCTCTCGTAAAAAATTAAATTGCCAAGTTAAAGACAGTAAATGATGTGGCTTGGTTCCTTTCTGCTAAACGCGGTTCATATTTGCTTGCTTATGACGATTCTTCGTTGTTCCCCTGGTTCACTTGTAGTCAAAATTAAGGGGAAATTAAGAATAATTATGAATTAAGAAAAGAGATAGAGGAAAAAAATAGACGGTAAAAGGTCCGCAGAAATACGGAATCAGATAAGAGTGAAACAAATTATTTTTTAATGCGCATTGCGCACAATCTGAGAGAGAAACTTGTAAGTTTTACAGTTTCGCACTTGCCTCATATTTCAGTTTATATGTGTAAATATCGATTGAAAAGAGCCTCATTCTACAAAATGATTATTATAAAGTAAACATATTATTGGATGAACTACATAGGTGACTGTAATATGGAAAGTATTACATCAAAAACCCACGTACGGTGCTAACCCTTCCATGGATTTTCTCCGTCGAAATGGACATTATAACTAATAAGGATAAACAAAATTTCCTAGGCTCTTTTCCATTATTCCCGTAAAATTTTAGGAAAGCCCAGAGATCTGAGTCGGCCATATCCATCAACAAATACATTAACAAAATCAGATCAATGAAATGTTCACCAAATGAAGAGTGACTCAAAGCGCTCAGTCGGTCTCAAACCAGAGCCTGGTGTGTATTCAATAATATGTACTCGCCTATTTGACGTGCATGGTTTTAAATTGAAGGCGAACAAATAGTCTCAAGTCAAATGATATCGATACGAATTGAAAAGGTAAGACTGATACGACTGTTCTGCCGTGCTACGGAAAAACGCTGTATGAAGATTCGAGAGTTGCCAAATTTCTCCATATAAAATGTGTATTTTGGAGGAAAGTTATGCATATTTTTCCGTGAAATTTTCGGATTTGTTATATCAAGTTGCGAATAAAAGTATCTAAAAAGTTCGGGGAAAAAAATTCTCAAAATTTGTTGAGTAGATTCGATTTTTAGTCAAGGAAATCTGACAACGTCCAAAGGCTCTTACGGCGTTTTCTCTTAGCATGGCAGTGTTCACATGGCTCAAGAAAAATTAAAGCTGATTAAATATTTAGCCCAACTTTTAAATGATAGTTTAATGAAATTCTAACTAACGTGGCTGTATTCTGGCAGAGTTTAATTATTTACTCTATTGTTTATTATTTAACTATTTTTAACCTCACGGATTTAAACGAATGCCCAGTGCCACGAGAGCAAGAAAGTATATACACGCCAAGGAAATAATATTTTATTTTGAATTTTTTTTTCTTTCTTCCTTTTTTCAACAATTTTAGAGAATTAATGCAGAATGTAAAGAGAGGATAGTAAGTAAACATAGTTTAAGCTTGTCAGCTAAGACTTCAATTTTTTTTATTGAAAACTTCAATTGCCTGAAACGACGTTCGAAAGGTATAAGACAAAAACTCAAATAATCCGGACCTTTGGTTTCCCACGTACATGAATTGAAATTGGTCCCTCTCATTTAATTTTTTTCCTCCGTCTACGCTTGTATGATGCAATCGTATGAAAAGTAACACATAAAATTTAATCCTCATAATTATTATCACATCAGCGGAAAAATTTGCATCGGATGGTCGAAAAGACACCTCGATTGTCATTTCAATTGATGTGCATGTAAATTTTACAATGAATAATGAATCGTCAACTTAACCAGTAAGTAAAACAAATTGAACCTGCATTTTTCTCCTTTCACCGTGCATAAACGGATTACCCGCAGAGCTATCTCCTGATGTAATGACCCACTCTGCCGTGCTAGGAAGAAACGCCGTATGAACATTCAAATGTTGCCAAATTTCCTCTTAGAAAACACTTATTTCTGTAGAAAGTTATGAATATTTTTCCATGCGAATTTCACACTGTTTAGATCAAACCACGAAGAACATTCTCTGAAAAAATCGGAAGAAATATATTCACAAATTGTCCTAAAAAGTCGTTGTTTATTGAGGGGAATTTGGCAACGTCTGATGGCTCATACGTCGTTCTTCCTGATACAACGGCAGCACTGGCTTATCACAAAAATACGAGGTAATACGTTCTCACCGGATAGTATCCCGAGAAGAATTGATGCAACAACGATTAAAAATTAATCGGATGCAGTGAGCCTTTATTAGAATTCGGTGACCAAGTTTTTAAAGCTCGGCCGAGAGGCAGTATAAATATAGCCTCCGAAGATAACAAATCTCAGCGAAAATCTCCCGAATCTTTTTCGCGGGTCGAATAAATTCAGTCCGTGACGTAATATTTGCCTCGCGCAGTTGGCAATGTTGCGGCCATTTGAATATCTTACTGACTTAGGTCCCTTAATCTCTCGGTTTCGGCGGCGGCTAAACGTTTTTGAAATCAGCCTGGCATATAAAACCGATTCTCCAAAGCCACTGGCCTCAGATCATCGCTAATTGATCGGAAAGTTTCTCGAACCCTGCGAAAGAGAAATTGTTCGAGAGAGGTCTCGAAAACGGCCAGCGTCATTTTTGTCGATTTGCATTTGACTGATGTTGATATTTGATATTCATGTTCCGAGCTTTATTCTCAAAGTTTATGTGAGGTGATTCGTTCTTTGAGATAAATATTACGAAGGAAACATATTGGGTGATTATCTAATTTCATATTTTGTAAGTACTGTAAAGCTGTAAACATGCTAAGAGACTTTGTGACTCATCTAGAACACTATATTAACCGGTTGCATGACTGATTAATTTATTTTGTTGAATTTAAAAGATGAAGAGGAAAATATTTTTTTTCAATCTTAAAAAACAGAGTCATATACCTACATAGGGAATTTTGAAAAAACACCTATTTGTAATAGCTTCGGACTTTCAACATTTACCAGATCGGGACATATCAAATATCAGAAGACGAAGAGGAAGAGGAGGAAGGAGAAGGAGGAGGATGAAGAATAAGGGAGGGAAAAAGAAGGAGGAAATGAAAAGGATGGAAGAAAAGACAAGGAAGAACAAGAGATAGAAGAAGAATGAGAGCAGAGAGGACAGTAAAGAGAGGAGGATAAAGACATGCAGAGGAAAAGACAATTACACTTGTTCCTCTTTTCTACTCTCCTTCTTTTCACCTCCTCCTCCCCTTTTCATTCATTTCATAGGCGAATCTAGACGACTCGAACGGGGGAGGGGGGCGTATGAGAGGTCCGGGGCCTCCCCCAGAAAATTTTTGAATTTTTGAAGTATCTAAAATGCAATTTGAGTCAATTTCGTCATGAATAATTGCTAAACGTAAGCGCCTTTCCGGCGCGGGGGTGTTAAGTGAGATGAGGGAGTGTAAACTCCCTGATAACCTGTGGGAAGACCGAGCTTTGTGGCGTTTAGGTGTCGCAAAGCGCCAAAGAGCGCTATA